AGAAAAACTTCGCTAGAAACAAGGAAAATAGTATTAAACCCTAATGTGATGTCTAACTTCCTCTATGGCAGTGAACGCCGGACAGCCTCAAAGATTAAGAAGAGACTTGATACAACAGAAATGTGGTTCTGCATAAGGATGCTGAGGATAACATAGACCAAACATGTGAGCAATGTGACGAAGTTTTAGAGAAAATGGGAACAAAAAGGAAACTTAACATCAGGAAAAGACAGTTGAAAATTCTACAGCACAAAATGAGAAAGAAAGCTTGGAAAATCTGATACTCACAGGACATATTGTAGCCAAGGTGGACAGAAGAAAACAACGCATAACATATTTACTTGAGTAAATGAATAGCAGAACAGGGCTTATTAAAAATAACAGAATGACAAAATTTATTAAGAGCTACAAGGGATAGGAAGTTGTGGAGAGCCATGATGACCTACGTCCTGAAAAGACACGGCACATAAAGAAGAAATTAATGTAAAAAGACTCCAGTACCGGCCAGTGAAAATCTTCCGGTCCGGTGCTGCTGCTGTACGTGGCCCACAGCGAACTACCCTGTTCGAAGATATTCAATATTGTCTAAAGCTGCAACGGAGACATTATGCTATTAATTTTCAAGATGTAAGTTCAGAAGCGCGCCGACCGAAAGTGCTACATCTTTTTTCAGCTGTGTAACAAGTTATTTATTGCTGCCTAATCAACAAACCAAATCTCCTTGCATACGTTTTACGCTTGCCCTCTTTATCGCTTATCATCCACACACTTGTTAATAGAAAGATGATGAATATGAAATGGATATGTAATTTATGACCAAAGACGAGCAAATTAAGCGGTTTGTATTTGATGCTAGCAAGGGAACAAGATAGAGCTAAAACTGTCTTTTTGTGGTATGTGTCGGCTGGAAATTGAGCGGTTAATTAGAGCTGATGAATGATAGATAATGGGACCATATTTATTTAGACGGCAGAGAGCACCAAAGGAAGAGAGATAGAGAAACCCACTCGATGAGAACTTGAAACAACGCCCAGGAAGCCACGTTGTAGGTATCACACACACACACACACACACACACACACACACACACATATATATATATATATGTGTGTGTGTGTGTGCAAAAAATATATAGAAAATAGGAAAGAACTCGTTAGGTAAATAATCCAAAGTTCTTTAGTATTTTTGTTATTATTTTAAAAAAAATAGTGCTCGATACAAAAGTAGAGCATAAATATAATTATTTATTTAAAAATATGATTCCAACACGCCACATAAGAGTTCTCATGTTTCAAAACAAGAGCCGAAAACGTCAATATAATTATTAGAATTAAATTGAATTAAAGTACTTAATTACTTATGTAGCGTGTTGGAATCATATTTTTAAATAAATAATTATATATATATATATATATATATATATAATAGGTGGCCACTCGTATTCGAGGATACCCGTGTATTAGGTCAGCTAGCCAATCCTTATTGCAAACGCTTTGCTCAGGCACATTTGTGTTTGTTCAACACCCACAGAGCCAACCTGTGGTTTATACTGCCGCTATACTGTGCAGATCTTAGTTACAGTTTCTGAGAGAGAGTGTCTTATCTAGCGTGATCAACAATCACGCCCTCGGCCACAATGACACGTGGCTTCGTGCTAGCAGAGCTATCGACGGCCCCCTAATGTTCCGCCTACCCAATTTCCCTCACACGGCTTGGGTCAACCCGTGGTATGGTTTTCAGGCACTTTCCTTACGTTCCGCACGCTGAGATCATCCCCCTTCAGACCGATAACATCAAGTAGTCTACTTCCTGACAAATCAATCGTGAGGAGGTTCAAACCCGGGTCTCATGAAATATATATACACAGATACACACACACAGATATACACACATACACAGTATATACACACAGTTATACACACAAACGCAAAAAAAATACTAAGCAACCTATCTATTGCTTTGAGAGTGCGTTTTCTGACCCCAGCAATGAGACTCTCTTTAAAAAATGTTGAGTATGTTTCACAGAGGAAATAAATGGAAGCGAAAGTTGTCATTTTTTTTCGCATTTTTATTAAAGGTTTCTTTTTAAATTTACAACCAGCACAGCGTTTTCATTCACAATCAATTTTCTCGATCGTAGTTTTTTTTTTTTTTTTTTTTTTTGGCTTAAGGATTTTGTCAGGCAGGACGCACCTCTCGCAGAAATCATCTCCTGATGACTCGGCTGAATATTCTTAAGTACCTCCAGGCTTTTAACACCTTAACAACTCGACAAAACTAGAAGTGCCAAAACAGTTTCACTGTACAATCTGGCGCCTTAAAGCACGCATTCTATTCGGAATTTCTACAGATTTTCTGTCTGAATTTCTGAGATGATGTGTCATCATTCAGTCAGTCATGTGCCATGCCGTGATACACGCTTAGGCAATCATGTATCTTTCGATACAGGACTGACGAGGCAGATTTTTTCCGCAGTAAGCTGCCGTTTCCTTCTGCGGTAGACTAGTTGCCATCTAAGGCTATAGAACCCGGTCTCTCCTGCTATTTATCCATAGATGGGGAGAAGAGGATTCATACCTTTCCCAGGGGTCAGTTGGTTATGTGCCATTCTTGATACACGCTTAGGTGATCATGTATCTTTCGATACATGACTGACGAGGCAGATTTTTTTTCCGCAGTAGGTTGCCATTTCTTTCTGTGGTAGACCAGTTTCCATCAAAGGCTATTTACCCATAGGGGAAAAAGAAGAGGATTCATACCTTTCCCAATGGTATTAACACGTAAGTGAATGTAATGGATCCGACTGGAATTCGAACTCGGCTCTCCGATTCCTCAATCCAAGTCGCTATCTATTACTCCCACCGTGCCTCTTCAGGCCAAGAGAGTTGGATTCATACCTTTCCCAAGGGTATTAGCACGTAAGTGAATGTAATGGATTCGACTGGAATTCGAACTCGGTTCTCCGATTCCTCAATCCATGTCGCTTTCTATTAGTCCCATCGTGCCTCTTCAGGCCAAGAGAGTTGAATTCATACCTTTCCCAAGGGTATTAGCACGTAAGTGAATGTAATGGATTCGACTGGAATTCGAACTCGGTTCTCCGATTCCTCAATCCAAGTCGCTATCTATTACTCCCACCGCGCCTCTTCAGGCCAAGAGAGTCGGATTCATACCTTTCACAATGGTATTAACACGTAAGTGAATGTAATGGATTCGACTGGAATTCGAACTCGGTTCTCCGATTCCTCAATCCGAACCGCTACCCATTACTCCACCGTATTAATTTTTACACTATTTACCTTCGGACTATTGTTCTCATCTTTGTTGTTGTTATCACAACGTTTCGGCGTTTCCGTCTTTCATCAGATGTATATCGATGCAAGTCGGCTAAAGGAAAGATTCTTTATAGTGTCCCGGTTTTTTATGATCAATGTTAGGAGCAAATTGGTTGCGTCTGACAGAAATGTGCCAACCGTGGCCAAAAGAATTCTAAACAGATTTGTAAGACCGGCCGAGTTTATCCAGCCACTCGAGGATATAATCAATCAGCAAGTCAAGGAAGTCCATCGTCAAGCAGCTCAAGATAATGAGGTCAGATAAAAGTCGTACGTGGCGAGGAGAGAGCAGTTCATATCCATTTGGTTTGGTTTGGTTTACGGCATATCAACCTCAATGGGTTATTTAATGCCGACAAAATTTTTAGTGCTGGTAGTATATTTTTTTTCAAAAATGTATTGCTGGCAATTTTTTTCCTTCAAAAATCTATTTCTGGTAACATTTTTTCTTCAAAAATGTATCGCTGGTATTTATTTTTCAAAAAAGTATTCCTGGTGATTTTTTTTTTTTTTCAAAAATGTATTGCTGGTAATATCTTCTTTTTTTTTTTCAAAAATATATTGCTGGTAATAATTTTTTTCTTCAAAAATTCATTGCTGGTAATAATTTTTTACAAAAAATCTATTACTGGCATTAAAACCTATTTTTACACTTTTGTAGGGTTTTGACCACAGTTACGGGATTAACTATTTACCCATAGCTGAGACCCTAACAGGTGCTACCACCCCGGCAAAGGTTGAACCTGGGAACACCAGCAATTAAAAGGTGGATCCACGCTCCTCAAAACAACCTTATGAAAATTGAGAGGTAGTATTGTGGTGGACTTCACCACATTAATTTAACTTCAGATTAGAAAACAAGGCACACACAAAAAAAGGATAACCAAAAGACATTGTCACGCATAAAATATGTATTTAACAAGATGTACAATATCAAACAACGATGTGAAGGAAAGCATGCATTTAAGTAAGAAATGGTTGAATTAACCAAAAGTTGTCTCTCTTTAACTGTTATTTTAGTGTTCAAGGAGAAATAATCATTTGGTTCAAAGTTCACTGGAAGAATGTTCATGAGAGTCTCTTGTAATGGTTGTTCTTGAAAGATATTAATCTGTAAGAAGAGTTTATGTGAGTGTATACAAGGTATGTTCAGCATGCGAGTGGTGTATGTGAATGAGAAAGTTTGCGCATGGTTTCAACTGTCGTGGATTCGTGTGGTAGTTGAATTCTCACTAATTGGACTAAGAAAAATCTTGGCTTAAATAAGCGACTATAGGCTCCAAATCGTTGTGCGGGAAAAATTATTCTTCACATGCAAACGATCTGATTGGTTGGCATCGACCAATCAGCGAGCGAGCTTTGGGGAGACTTAAGAAAGCTTCTGTGATCCGCTTCTCCCGAACGTGCACAAAACTGACTACTTAAAAATAGAACGAATACAAAATCGTCGCATTACTGCGATTTGTAAATTGCCTGTAGTAATGTAGTGGTGATTTATTAACCAATGAATGCTTGACGTTGTATGTGATTTGTATTTTTGTATGTATGTATGTATGTATGTATGTATGTATGTATGTTCGTGCGTAATAGATCCGCACAGTATCATAGAATCGGTAGGCCCCTTATGATAGATTCGGTGGGGCCCACAAAACCCGGCCCTAACTGATGATATCAATACAGTCAGGGAGTATTCCATTCTTTCTTTCTCTTGTTTTTACCATGCACCATTCTGTTTCTTTCAATCTATTTAGTTCACGATATTCTTACCTTCCCTTCTTTAATTCTCTCTCTCTCTCTCTCTCTCTCTCTCTCTCTCTCTCTATCTCTATCTATCTATCTATTTCTCTATCTATCTATCTATCTATCTCACTATTCTACACATGCGAACACTCACACATGTACAGGCATACACGCAATTAAGAAAAATCAATCTAACATCAATAAAAAGCGTATGAAATTAATTTAATATGAAAATAAAGAAATAAGGAAATCGACAGTCAATTGCTGATATCACCTGACGAGTGGAACGAACGATTACAAAAATGATTCGTCTACGAAACTCTGGAGTCGGGTGCTGAATATAACATCAATGAGATAAGTGACAAATTTCCTACTTGTGTTAGACTGGGTACCTCTACACAATTGCTGAAAAATGAGCTTACGATGATGGAAAAATGCCCAAACTTAATAAAAAAATTGTCGTCAAAAGCTTTATGTTATTATTAAGAGGGAAGACCAAAGGATTTTTTTATTATTAAATTATATTTTGTAATCCTTTTTAGAACTTTCGAAATTTTGGTTAGAATTCTTGTTGTTTTTTTTTCTGTTTGTTTTTTGCTGTAGACGGGAAGATGGCAAAGATTAATATAGGGAATTTTTTACGCCTTGTTGTGGGAAAAACACACACTGATTTGGAAATTCACAAATGAATGAAATTATTTGAGAAATTATTTTTTTTAGAAAATCTTGGTGTTTTTTTTTTTTTTTTTTGGCAATTGTTGTCCCTCACTTATTTAATTTTATGAAATTTGTAGAACTTAAAGTTTTTATTATTTATTTTAATTTAATTTAAATCATCAATTTCTTTCTGTAAAATAGAAAATCTGCTCTAAATCGTAAAATTAAAAAATGCAATAGAACTAAGAAATTATTTAATTAGAAAAATCTTTTAATTGCATTCATGAATAAGATATATTATGGACACTAATCTCGTAAATGGAAATGCTTAGTACAATTCATCGACCCCCATTATTTTAAAAAGAATTTTGTCTATAAACGTACCGATCTTTGTAAATAGAGACGTCCATACACGACATTATCAGAGAATAAGAGCTTTAACTATAGAAAATTTTTAAAAAGTACTTAAACGTTAATAAAACATTAACTTATGGGGAATATTTACCTAAATTTTACTGAGTTCTTAGAAATTATATAAAAAGGCGCTCACGTTATATTCGTCAAGTAATTTTTATAGATATATATACCGTAGAAAAACATAAGATAAACTTATTTCTGTCAGTCAAGTTGTCAGTATGCCAGCACCTTAAATAAACAGCAACCACCATGGTAAAAAAAAAATGAATTAATAAAGAGAATTACATGGTGATGACGGGAGCCTAAAAATGGCGCTAAAATCAGTGATGTTATTGATTTCAAAACGAAATATCCTTCCAGTGAATTTAAATTAGTTTTGAAATACATCAAAGTATTTTTCTTAATGTAAATATTAAATTTAATCTATTACCTTGAAATCAAAAGTAAAATAAAAGTTTTAAGAAATACTTTTCATTTTTAAATATTCATTTTAAACCTTAGGTATCGCATTTCTGTTGAGGTATATATATATATATATATATATATATATATATATATATATATATATTATATATTATAAAAGAATGATGACCTGTCTAAGTTCCGGTTTATCATGTCATAAAAACAACTGACCCACCTCCACCCTCTGAGCTTAGATCTAACTTTTAATTGGTTGATCAAGAGAAACTCACAAGTTTAATTTTAATTTTGACCTTGTGTTTTCTCACCCTTCCCTTATCTTTCAGAAAAGAGGTACCACTTTGCTTTTGAAATTTTATTAAAAATCATTTAATCACCAGTTACTTACCATCGACTGGAGAGGCAAAAATTTGTCGAAAGACGAAAGCTATTATGTAGCGATTTCAACAGGTTTTTGTTATAAACTTTTATAATAAAAATAATAATAATATATTTCCCTACTTTGTATTGAGCACTTTTTTTAAAAAGTAAATGTTACGGACAGGGGAATTTTACTTCAAATGTTCTTTTCTCGCAATTGTATACATATATACATACATACATACATATATATATATATATATATATATATATATATATATATATATATATATATATATATATATATATATTGCCTTCGTCACTAATTATTATGGTTACCCATTTTTCTTTATCGCATTTTTATGATCATATGGAAGATGTTTTTGTTCAGTATTATTATTCCTACATAGTTGTCGTCTGATTGTACGAATCAACTATTACCTTGTAATTATGTTTCCGTCTATCACGTGACAAGACGTTGGATACTGGTAATCCGTCAAGCTTTCTTTGATTTCTATCGTCTAATTTCCAAGACCTACCAGCCAATTTTTGGTCCCAAACGCTTCCAACTTCACCAAGTTTCTGCGTGAATTGGACTAACAACCTCAATGTTCCAAAATAACGATATTACGATAATATTGATCATCTTTACTAACCTCATTCTTCCAGTTGTGAAATTTAAATCAATTACAATAAAAGTAAGTTTGAAAGTTCCAAAGTTTACGCAATGTTTTTGGTTCATTTCACAAGAAATGTTTGAATGCTTATCTTGACCTTTGAAGACATTAATCACGAGAAGAGACGTTGCTCATAACTTTTCATGTCCTATTTTCAATATCAAAATGAACTCAGATCTAACCCTGAGATAATGTGAATGAAAGTTCTGGACGGCCAGAGATGTGACTCATTGTCGAACACTTAAAATTTCTAATATTAACTAATTATTTTTTTTATCAGCGAAGGTCTCATTTCTTACGATCGCCACTGTACGTGTCTACTGTATGCATCTACTATTGCAAGTAATCAGATGAGATTTACTGGTCATTATATTGGTTCCGATCATTTATTCATACATTCATCTCTCAACACGTTTAAATCACACCGTCATTTCTCCACACGTTTAGGCCACACGGTCATTTATCCAGTCGTTTAGGCAACACCGTCATTTCTTTACCCGTTTAGGCTACAACGTCATCTCTCCACTCGTTTAGGCCACACCGTCATTTCGCCACTCGTTTAGGCCACACCGTCATCTTTCCACTGGTTTAGGCCACACCGTCATTTCTCCACTCGTTTAGGCCACACCGTCATTTGTTCACTCGTTTAGGCCACACCGTCATCTTTCCACTCGTTTAGGCCACACCGTCATTTCTCCACTCGTTTAGGTCACACCGTCATTTCTCCACTCGTTTAAGCCACACCGCCATCTTTCCACTCGTTTAGGCCACACCGTCATTTCTCCACTCGTTTAGGCCACACCGTCATCTTTCCACTAGTTTAGGCCACACCGTCATTTCTCCACTCGTTTAGGACACACCGCCATCTTTCCACTCGTTTAGGCCACACCGTCATTTCTCCACTCGTTTAGGCCACACCGTCATCTTTCCACTCGTTTAGGCCACACCGTCATTTCTCCACTCGTTTAGGACACACCGTCATCTTTCCACTCGTTTAGGTCACACCATCACGTCACTCATTTAGGCAACACCACCATCTCTCAACTCTTTCAGCCCACACCGTCATCTCTCAACTCGTTTAGACCACACCATCAACTCGCCACTCATTTAGGCCACACTATCATTTCGCCACTCATTTAGGCCACACCGTCATCTTGCCACTATTTTAGATCACGTCATCTTCATTCCGCTCGTTTTAGGCATGTCATCCTCTCTCCGCTTATTCAGGACACTGTCATCTCGCGAAATGTTTATATCATATGGTTCTCTAATTGTTTCAGTTACCGAATTCCCTAGAGTTAGAAGCATTACTTTCGGGGCGTAGCTTGTGTATATGGGGGTTTATAATTTTCGGTAATTTAACACGTAGTTATTAGCGAAAATTTGATCTGAAATTGCTATTGTATAATGTTCTATTGATGCAATTAAATGCATTGACAAGGAAGGGCGTTATGTCGAAAAGAATACAGTTTGTCAGGTGTTTGAAAACATATTTTTAGCAAGACATAAACAGAAGAAACCTAACGTAATGTTACGCAGCATGTGCCAAATTTTAACCTTCTCATTTCTCTTTCTACTGTATTGGCCTCTAACCACAGCGACTCGAAGACGGCGAATTTCTTCAAAGTGGCCAGTCTTTTTATGCTCAATATTAGAAATAAATTGGATGCATCTGGCAGAAATGTGTCAACCGTCACTAAGCGATATTACATTCTAAACAGTCTTGCTTATAAGGACGGCCAAGTTCGGGTAGCCGATTAAGTCAATGAAGTCCATCGCCAAAAATTCGTTAAAGTGGGTGTGATGGCCAGCATAATCAAGAACTACTTAACTTGTGCAGGCAGACAAACCGCCATCGAGGCCGAGGGCAGATTTATAGAATAATATTTTAGTTTTCGTAAGTCGATCATGCACGTAATTTTTATTAGAAAAAATTGGATTTTTTTTTGTTGAATATCTTTGATCTTTATATTATAATCAGTCCACAATCACATGCATTTGTTGCATAAATTAAATGCTTTTTTCATTATTATTCTATAAATGTATTGTTTTACCTATATCTATCTATCACAGTCTGTTCATATCTATCTATCTATCTATCTATCTATCTATCTATCTATCTATCTATCTCAGTCTGTTCATATCTATCTCTCTATCTATCTATCTATCTATCTATCTATCTATCACAGTCTGTTCATATCTATCTATCTATCTATCTATCTATCTATCTATCTATCTATCTATCTATCTATCTATCACAGTCTGTTCATATCTATCTATCTATTTATCTATCACAGTCTGTTCATATCTATCTATCACAGTCTGTTCATATCTATCTATCATATCTATCTATCTATCTATCTATCTATCTATCTATCTATCTATCTATCTATCTGTCACAGTCTGTTCATATCTATCTATCTATTTTTTCTGTGTATGTTTGTCAGTATTTTCATTTTAGATTATTTATTTATATATAATTCTGAGAGCGGTTGCCTCGATCATTTTTTAGATTTGTAATTTTCTAAAAGTTTTTGCCTTCTTCCCACCCGGTTTTTTCCGCTGATAAAGATAGTCGACCCCAAAACAGGCTAAGATCAAAGCAACAGAATTAAATGACACAAAAAGGAGAGCTGCTATTTGTACTGGCGCCATATGACCTAAATGAACATGGCGGCTGCGTAATTATGTCATAGACTCTAAAGCAAGATCACTGACTGAGATATTAGCAGAGAACTTCAAAAGAGAATTCTGTCTTAGTTGTTACTTAGAATTTTCTGCCTTTGAAATTAATTGTTGATAATGTCGTTTTTTTTTGTTTTTTTTTTTGTTTTTTTTACTAATCTTAAAAGAGTAAAAATCTGTCATACAAACAGGTACCGCCTTCCCTTGTCTGAAAAAAAGAAACAGGGTAATTTTTATTAAATGAGTTAATGTCAGATTGTAACAAGCTTCGCTTGAGTCCTCTATACATTCGAAAAAAAAAAGACTTACGTGCAAGAATGTCATACATGCATCCAAGGATCTATAGGGAGCTGAAAGCTTGAAATTCCCTACCGTTTTCTGGAACTGAGAACTACAGAAAAAAAAAATAAGTTTGTCCCCGTGGCATCAATGATAATGTTATTTTGGCGAAGCTGTATCATTTTTCTAAAATCATTACTGCCATTAATTTTAAAAATGAATCATAAAAATTCTACTAGAGATTTCTGTCTTTCATTTTTGTTTTTCGAAACCTTAGCTTAGAAATTTTCATATAAGTCATATATGCAGAAAAAGTGTAAAAAAAATTCCATAAAATAAGTAAAAACAAACAGCAAAAGAAAACTATCAAGTATTTAAAATCAAAAGAAAAATGTTTACAGCAGGATAATAGATTTTTTTTTAAAAAAAAAAGTTCATTTTATGTGAGGATCAGATAAAAAAATATAAAATCAGGAAGTTTTAAATTTAACATCAGATTTAAACATGGCCACTTTTAGTATCTAATATGACCCCCCCCCCACACCTATTTTATATTGTGGCACTATGCTTAACTAGGGCAGCTTGACTTTTCACTTCTTTTAGAAATCAACATTGCACTCGATATGAAAACTGGGTTTGATGCGACCAAAGATTAGATTCATAGCTTTTGCCAGTTTTTGAGCATTTATTTTTTAAGATCGTTTGAAAAAAAAATACCTAATTCAATTTCATAATTTTACTATTTCAAAAATAAATGCAAATAAAAATGATATCTTTATGTATTGCATACACTGGAAAATATATGCAAACCATAGTTCTAGGTATGAATCAAAACAAGCAAAATAAGCACTTTTTTTTACCGCATTCAATAATAAAAATCTGTGTAAAAAAATTGTAGATTACAAAAAAGGTTACTCAATGAATAAGATTTGTTAGATCATTCCTTTGATCATAATTAATAAAAATAAAAAAATAGATAAAATAGATAACATCATAATACTGCTGGGGAGAAGTTATAAGACAAAATGTTTTAAATTTCCATGGTTTATTGAAAATTGCACTAAAACTACTTCACTGTCTTATATATTGCATTATAATACAGTTTAACCCGGATATAAGAGAGTTGCCGGGACCGGAGAAGAAGTCTCTTATATCCGGGTTTCTCTTATATCCGGGTTTGGTCTATTTTATATACATTAACACAGGCTCTAATTTGGGACCAGAGAAAATCTCTCTTATATCCGGGTTTCTCTTATATCCGGGTGTCTTATATCCGGGTTACACTGTATATCTAAAATATTTAGCATAATTTCCTTTTGAAATAAATGAAGGTGTCATTTGACGGCACAATCATTTAGTAATAATGTACTTGTGTTATAAGTCTTGTCTATATACACTTTCTAAACTTCAGTAAATTATAAATTTTATAAGTCTGTGCTATAAGGCTTTTATTTATAATCAGAATGACATACCAATGCTACGATTTTAAACCTAAACTTAATCTTTAAAGACGTTTCCTTAAAAACGGTAAGAATTTGGGAAAAAAATATTTAGTGTTATGATTAAGCATGTCAAAGCCAAACTTTCTAATTGTGCGTAATATCATGGCTCCAAAATAGACCAGCCTTAATGCTTAGTAGCGGTAAAAAATGTATTTCTTATAAATGTTTTGCTGTCACTTTCTTTTTATGTGCCGTGTCTTTTGAGGACATAGGCGATCATGGCTCTCCACTTCCCCCTGTCCTTTGTAGCTCTCAATAAGTTTCGCGCCTCTACCACCTCCCCCAGACCACGTTCTGCCATCCACTTGCATAAGCCCGCCAGGTATGACATGCGTTGCTTTCCCTTGTCTCTTTTTCCCTCTATTCGACCTGTGAGTATCAGATTCTCCAGGCCTTCCTTTCTCATTACGTGTAATACAAATCTCATTTGCCTCTTCCTTATTTTAAGTATAAGCTTCCTCCTTGTTTGCATCCTCTCCAAGACCTTGTCGTTGCGCATATGCTCGCTCCATGATATCCTTAGCATCGTTCTGTAGAACCACATCTCTGCTGCCTCGAGTCTCTTCTTCATCTTTGAAGAGACCGTCCACTATTCGCTGCCGTATAGGAGGAGAGATATATAGTCATATGCACTCGTGAAAGCATCTAGCAGGTTTGACGCGGAACTAAATGAATAGAAAGTATGTTTGTATATCTGTAAAGGGTGTTTCATTAAGACGGATCAAAGTTAGTAGTAAATAAATCAGTGTTATTTGTGAAAATTTATTTATTTCTCTATTGGATCATGTTATTTAAGTCATGGCAATTATGTGTGAAAAATGATATCGCTCAAATGTTTGCCAAGTTGCATAGTTGCCCCTCGATCTCACGAATTTGCCTTATTATCTCGTCCTTCAGCTGTTGAATTGTTGTTGGCTTGTTGGCATAGACCTTACTTTTGAGATGAACCCAAAGAAAGAAATATAAAGGCGTCAAGTCGCACGATCGTGGTGGCCAAGTGACTTCACTCTTTCGAGAGATGATACGATCTGGGAACTTCTCATTCAATAAAGTCATTGTTTCATTGGCTGTGTGGCATGTGGCGCGTCATTTAAAACGTTGTTTGATTGTTAATCTTTCCATGGTTGAAATTGCCAAAGACTTAAGTTGTTAAATCTGAAAAAAAAAATCATTAGATGCTTAAACGTAATTCACATTTAAAATCGGTCCAAGTTATTGGAACATTCTTTACAATAATATCCCAACATCCATATTGAATTTGATCGGCTTGTCTTTTCTCGTGCACCCTGTTGACGAATGTACGATGCTTCGGCCACATTCTCGTGCACTTTTGAAATGTTTTCATTTGAACGACGCAAACGAGCACGCAATGGTGTTTTCACATCCCAGTTTGTTTGAATTTACAAACAATTTTTCCAATTGAATTTTCGGTTGGTCAGTTATGCTGACCCAAAAAAATCGCCAAGTGCGCATAATGCATTTCTGTTTGAACGTCCATTTTTGTAATAGGTTTCGAGGACTTTAACACGTTGTTTGTTAATCTTTCTATGGCTGAAATTGCCAATGGCTTAAGTTGTTAAATCTGAAAGAAAAAGAAAAAAAATCAATAGACGCTTAAATTTAATTCACAAATCGGTCCAGGTTATTGGAACACACTTTATTTATCACCAAGCAACCATTAAAGTCTCTCGGTATACGTGACTGACTGGTTTATGTCAATTAAAAAAAAAATCTTCATTTCATTAGATTTTAGATTGCGGACATGAAGACCTTAAATAAAAAAACCGCCAAGAATGGACATCAAAATTTAAGATAGCTGAAGAACTAAGAATAAGGTGTTTCATTAAGACGGATCAAAGTCAGTATAAATAAATCAATGTTATTGGTGAAAAATTATTTATTTCTCTACTGGATAATGTTATTTAAGTCATGGCAATTATGTGTAAAAAATAATATCGCCCAAATATCCGCCAAGGCTTCGGTGGCACACCTCCACTCGATGATCAAAATTTTTGATGACGTCTCTGCATAGTTGTTCCTCGATCTCACCAATATGGCTTATTATCTCATCCTTCAACTGTTGAATTGTTGTTGGCTTGTTGGCATAGACCTTATTTTTGAGATGAACCCAAAGGAAGAAATATAAAGGCGTCAAGTCGCATGATCGTGGTGGCCAATTGACTTCGCTGTTTCGAGAGATGATGCAACCTGGGAACTTTTCATTCAAAAAAGCCATTGTTTCATTGACAGTGTGGCATTTGGCGCCGTCATTTAACACGTTGTTTGATTGTTAATCTTTCCATTGTTGAAATTGCCAATGGCTTAAGTTGTTAAATCTGAAAGGAAAAGAAAAAATCATTAGACGATTAAATTTAATTCACATTTAAAATTGGTGTGTGTGTGTGTGTGTGTGTGTGTGTGTGTGTGTGTGTGTGTGTGTGTGTGTGTGTGTGTGTGTGTGTGTACGAGAAGTTTAATTAAATTATTGAAGCCTCTTTTTCCATTTCATATTTCTAACATTACCACTTAATACCCTTTCTTAGAATAGTGGGATTTTCTGTATAACTCCAAACGCATACGAATATGAAATCTTTTGATTAAAGAAATTTTATAATTCATTTTCTTTGATAGAGTTTTTAGAAAACAACTTCTGATAAATCTCTATTTTATCTCTCTGCTTTAGCCACTGAGCTGTGGAATATTAAAATATGAATGAATTTTCAAAAGTAACAACTTCCTTTGAATAAAACACAAATGCGTTTTCTCAAAGTTAACACGGACAGAAAATTAATTAGACTTGCTCCAAAACTGACTTTTGCCTCTGTGAGAACATACAAAGAGTGCTTACTTCAAAGAACCGACTTGCCCTCATTGATAACGTTAGTAATAATAACAGTGTTGGTGGCAGTTATTCCCATTCGAAAAGCTTTTAAACGGAAAGGCAATTTCTGAAAGAGCTGAAGTTGGTTGTGCTCTACATGGACACCCACGTAAA